GGGGGGGGGGATATTTATATGTTTGGAAAACTTAAAATTGGATGAAAAAATGAATACATTTATATGTATTCACTTGTTTCACTTCAAATGTTATTGCAAATTTTCTGTGCAAAGAACTTTCAATTGGATGAAAAAATATATGTATAATAATAAATGTTATTTAAAAAATGTGCACATGAATAAATATAGATATTAAAACAAAGTAGATATTAAAACATCTAAAAATGGTATCTACAATTAGAAATTCACATTTAAAAAAAATTTTTCACTTGGCCGTAAGAATGGATTGAAAATTATTAGAAAATGTGTGGAAAATGTATAGTAATCTGTCCAATTTCCATATGAATGAATACACATAAGTGAAAATCAAATGTATATGTAAAAAATACCTATACAATTGAAAAAATGTTTTTTTTAAAAACGTTTCACTTTATTATTTTTAAAATTCGCACATAAATAAATATACATTTAAGTAAATATTAAAACATGTATGTGAATATTTCTATCTACAGATGTTAAAAAAAATGTTTCACCTGGGTTGAAAATATTATTGCAAATTTTCTTTGTAAAGAAACGGAATAAATCTATATTTGAGTAAATATTCAAATATATATGTTAAAAAATATATATGTATATCTACAGTTACAAGTTGTATAAATATAAATGCTGGCAGAGCGAGTAGAAATCTAAACAGCTGGCCTGACCAAACAAGCAGAAATAAACCTTACTGTTGATGTTGTGATATCACAAACAATGTCAGGCCATTTTCCTTCGATTTCCTCTGTCATATACTATAGGCTTTTCCCAACTTCTAGCGTTTATATCCAAGCTTTCTCCCTCCACTACCAAGCCTAAAAAGCACTCGGACTTCCTCTCCTCACTTTCTTTCTAGATCTCATCTGAGATGTTAAACAGTGTCAAAATGGCATTTTTCATGTACCTTCAGCTCCAATCTTGCCATCACCATCACTGTCACCAGCAGACAGGAAGGCCTTGGTCTCTTTGTCGGTCAGAGCCCTGGCACCGGCCTTGAAGTTCTGCAGGAACAGCCTACAGGAAGAGCACAGGCCTGTTATTAACCCTGCGACCGCCGCTGTTTTACAATGATTTCTTATGATTCTCACTTCAGCTCATCCTCCTCAATGAAGCCGCTGTTGTCCTGGTCAATGATGCCGAAAGCCTTCTTGACGTCATCAGAGGACTTGGCGGCCAGGCCAACCTTGGCGAAGAACGCCTTGTGGCTGAAGGAGTCAGCAGCTGGTTTGGGATAGAAACGTGTCAGTATTTCATTTGGTCAAATGTTGTTGTGATGCTCACGAGAACGGCTGTGTCCAGCACTTTTACACTATT